ACACTCTTGTATGTATATATATATATATATATATATATGTATATCAGTATCTGTTACGATTATATAATGATAATAATAGTAGGAGTGAATAAAATGTTGATAATATTACTTCGCAAAGTAGCATAGGTACTAGTAATTATGATAATGATAATAACAATAATGATGATAATAATAATAATAATAATATGTAACAGAGAGAATAAATTTGACGTGTCAACAGTCTCATGGCGCCATCTAGTGTAGAGTCTAGTGCATATGGGTTTTGTTTTGTGTCATCGATGTGAGTGTTTTGCTCTCGCTTTACTTTCAGGAGGAAGTGGAGTACTGCAAAACGATATTGCAGATTTGCTTTCAAGGTGGTAACAATTCTTCCAGTCAACAAGGACCAGACCGGTGATGCTAGGTGATACAAGGAAGCGAGTTTTTGGCGTAAAGCAAGAAATGTGTTTAGTAATGACCAGGCAACCATCTAGCCAAAAAATCTGTACACTGTAGCCGTATGGTCAGCAGTTCTGTAAACTGCGTATTCAATAATTGTGCCACTGCCAAGCAGAGAGTACAATGCAACTATGAGAATGACTATGCTATTGCTCGCCTTTCATCCATCAATCATCGTAGCAAATGAAAGCTTGGGTGCGAGCAATGCGGGAGTAGTTGTCAGACGATTGAATGTACATATACGGTACGCTTAACACAAGTTCATGAATGTCATGCCGCGTTACAATAACGTCTCAAATATACGATTTAATTACTATTACTGGTTTTACGACTTTATCTTTTATATGGCTTTGTTAGTTTGCGACTGGATCCAGGCATAGATCCATGGATCAAAGTGGGTTCCAATATCACTCGGTCGGGTAATATCGAATCGTTTTTATCGAATGTAAATGGCAAGTGTCTGTTTCAAAGCTGATTAAGATGAACATTGATTTACGTACAAAACATTGGCATTTAATTTTCCCTATTTAAAAAAATACAGCTCTTGTGCCGTAGGTAACACCAGGTTTCCTTCCAGGGCTTTAACGCATGTCAGGTTCAATTTGAATTCAAAGCGAATGCTAATTTGGGACATCTCATAATGCTCCGACATTTGACATGCCTTGATTTCCAGACGGGTTTACTTTGGACAATCCTACCACGGTCATGTTGTGTTTCCACAACTTGATGTATGCGTCTGCGAAGTGGCCGAGTTTACCTGCGTATTGAGGCCGCTTACGACACAGGTAATTGACTCCAATCAGTACAACCACCACCCGGGCCCTCCACCATCCACACATAGCCGACATCCTTTTGAAATTCCCAGGGAGATCTCTGAACATATTTGCGATTGACTTTGTTTTTGATTAACCTGACAAAACGTTTTAATACGAACACAGAAACAGTCATCGTTTGCATGCAACGGCCACTTTTATTGACTTTTATTGACAAATATAGATTCGTACTCCATTCGATAACCGCAGGATCGATTTACGGGAATTTATTTGCGTACAAAATTCCCATCGCAACAAATATATATATATACACGCACGCACGCACGCACGCACACACACACACACACACACTTCATCATACATAGCATCAATCTTGTTGACCATCGCCATGGTTAAGGCGTGAAGTCTACCTTCAGCTGGCGTCGTCGACAGTGGCATCGTCGGTCTAAAGGATTGCGAGAGGCTGGTGCTTGCTGCTCTCTGTCGTCGTCTCCACGATGGCTCTCAGCCACGTGTTTAGCCATCCCTCAGCTAGCATCGGCGACAGTCCAGAGGCTTGCGAGCGGTTGGTGCTTGCTAGAGATGACGATGGCTCTGAGCAGAGATGCCAACCACTACGATTTATCCGTATTTTATACGAATTTCTATTCCTTTTGCACCACTACGACCAGTTTGTATCAAACTACGAATTTCACTGTGATCGAAAAAAAAATTTTTTTTTTTCATTTTTTGTCAATTTAATGTCATTATTGACCCTCGGAATGCAGGAAATTGCATCTCAGAATCAAAAATTTTTCCGGGGGGCATGCCGGACCGCCCCTAGCAAACTCGGGTCACTACGTGACTCTCGAACTACTAATTTGATGGCCAGAAACTACAGATTGCTTCAAATATGTGTTGGCATCTCTGCTCTCAGCCACGTGTTTAGCCAACCCTCGGCGAGCGTCGGCGTCAGTACAGACGCTTGCGAGCGGTTGGTGCTTGCTAGAGATGACGACAGCTCTCAGCCACGTGTTTAGCCAACCCTCAGCTAGCGTCGGCGTCGTCGGCGTCAGTACAGAGGCTTGTGAGCGGTTGGTGCTTGCTAGAGATGACGACAGCTCTCAACCACGTGTTTCGCCAACCCTCAGCTGGCGTGATCGCCGTCGTCAGCGGCGACGTCGGTCCAGAGCCTAGCGAGAGGTTGGTGATGGCTTCTCTCCATCGTCGTCACGACGACGGCTCTCAGACGGGTGTGAAGCCCTTCCACGCTCGTGTCGGCGTCCACGACGCTCCATCGCTCGTCGAACAGCCGCCGGTACGTCTCCCGCACGCGACCCTGCAAATCAATCCATCGATAATTGATCGATATCATAGGTACATTTTCAATCGAAAAGGTGATTATCGATCAATAAGTCAATTTTCAATCCATAAGTCAATCATCTATCAATAAGTAAATTTTCAATCAATAAGTCCATTTGCAATCAATAAGTCAATCATCAACCAATGAGTCGATCATCAATCCAATAAGTCAAACATCAATCAATAAGTAAATCACCGACCAATACAGAACACATCAATCCAATATCTCGATCATCGAGACATCGACCCAATAAGTCGATCTTCGACGCGCGGCCGCGTACCTGCAGTCCGACCTTCTCGTATCGCTCGTCGCCATAGCTTCCCCGCTTCGCCGCCGCCTCCGCAGAGAGGTCGAGGTAGAGGACGAGGTCGGGCCGGGGGAGCCCCGCCTCGGCGTGCTTGCACCACGCGAGCTCCATGCCAGGCTTCACCGCGGAGAACGCCACACCTGCGTGCGCGTGCGGAGAATGAAGAACGAAGTCAGACGATCGTTAGCGTGAGACTATAGGTGGCGCCTGTGTGTTGCGTCTACTCAATCTGGCGCCGACTAACACCAACGAACGCGCGAGACGTGGAGAACGAAGAACGAAATCAGACGATCGTCGGTGAGTCAGCGCGAGACGATAGGTGGCGCTACTCTATGATCTGGCGTCGACTCACACCGACGACACTCGCGTGAACGTGATTTCATATTGTGTGTCCATAACACTAATACTAATCCCCTATCCTTACCCTAACACTAAAACTAATTAAACACGAACCCTAACACTAATACTAACCCCTATCCTAACACTAAAACTAAATCTAACTAAAACACGAACCCTAACACTAATACTAACCCCTATCCTAACACTAAAACTAACCCTAACCCAAACACGAACACTAATACTAACCCCCTAGCCTAAGTAACCCTAACCCAAACACAAACCCTAACACTAATACTAACCCCCAATCCTAACCCTAACACTAACTCTAACCCTAACACTAACCCTAACACTAACACTATACCCACGCATTGCCGTGGCACCCAGCTCACCGGAGAACGAGTATCGATCAACGATCAGCGTCGTCCCACTCATCAGCTTCTCTCTCATCTTCGGCGCAGCTTCCCAGCGGTTGGCGGCGAACAGGAGGTGTATCGCGTGATCTTCCAGCTCTATGCCGCATTCCAGGTACTCCCTGCACATCTTTCCTGCGGGAGAACAACGCGGGATGTTGTCGTAGAAGGGGTGCAACGTGGAGGTGAAGGATGCGGGAGCGGCGGGGGAAGAAACATGGTAGTTACACAGATAAGGTCTATGTCTCCCTGACCTCTGTTTGACCTGGCTCGTTTACAGGTTTAGCTATTTCTGACTAACCCAAACCCTGATAACTATCTGATATGGTTAGGGTTAGGGTTAGTCAGAAATAGCTAAACGAGCCAGGTCAAACAAAGGTCAAGGAGACAGACCCTACGGGCGGTAGTTACATGCGCGCGATATGTTGTAATGTATGTATTATATCATGTATTGTATCTATGTTGTATTGTAGTATAGTAATGTTCTATATACTCTAGTAGTATGATGAAAAGGTTTAATTGTCTTCCTAGGCACTGTCAGAGCATAACTCTACTACTATATAGATTGTATCTAAAGTTGTTACTTTAAACTGACGCTAAGCCCTTCCGGTCTCCTAAGACTTTTCATTTAAAAATTTATAATTCCTTAAAATTTTAACAGCATGCAAAGATTCAAAAGTAATTCCATTGTCAAAATGAGCATGATGTGATCAGTGGGTGGCAGAATTTTAGGTGATGAAACAAATAAACTTTTTGCATAAATGTTAAGTAGCAAATCCAGCTGCATTCATACAGTCAATGCTTAGTTTTAATATTAGTACGATCATGAATATATGCATCCTCTAAGAGGATTCACATGTTCATTGCATTATAAATGTGCGCAATTCTATACATATAATTGTTGGAATATTACATGTCTACAAGTGACGGTACGTACCGATGTGTGTGGATCCATCTGGAAATCTCATGAATTCGACGTTTTTGCCCTCGCTCTTCAGCACATCTACCAGCTTTTTGCACTGCGTTGTCTTTCCACATCGATCACATCCTTCAAAGACGATCAACGCTCCTCGCTTCACCGCAGATCCAAACATCACCGACGCGACGTCGCAATATTATACTACTGGAATAAACATGCAAACTAGAACATGCAAACCAGAATACTGTTATGTTATAATGTTACGTCCGTATACTTAATTGTCTTAACCGGTTAACACCGGTAATTGCATTAATTAGATATTTTCTCAAATAAAAATACCATTTTTAGTACATGATCTGATCATGATCCCGATGATGTACTTGTAAGTTGTATTCTAATTATATGCAATCAAGATTCAGATTGTAAATTAATAATAAAAAAAGTCGGTTTCCTCTATAGTATAAGGTATATAGTGACAAGTGAGGGCATCAGAATGTTTTCATGATACAAACATGAGATACGACACATCATCATGTACCAGTGGTGCACTGTACTGCGTACATGTATTGTACAGTCTGTACATGTATTGTACAGTCTGTACATGTATCCCTACATCATTCCTACAAAATTACATACAACACTCGCTTCATTTATATTCACTCGACTCGTGCATTCTACGTACAAACATACTTACGTATTAAGCAGTTACTTAGCACATCAATCCATCCACTTTTGATGCGCTGGGGGAGACTTGGAATGTAGAATAGTTGAATATTTTCGTAAATGAGAGATGCTACACGGTACACCTCCGAGTACCTACTTACTTATCTTTGAACGCCTGATAGTGATATTGCCGCCAAGCGGTGACCGAAACAGCTGGTCACTTGTCTGAAACATCCGTGCGGTAACATGTACTGTACGAAATGGCCGCCGCGAGAGAACGTAAACAAAAAATGGGCGTTGTACAAAAGTCTGCGGAAGGGGACGCCGGCACTAAGTATTCGTAACACAGTCAGGGGTCGAAATTAGATTTTTATTATGGTATCAATTCGGG